CAACTGGCCGGGACTGTGCGACCTACGCCGTGCTTCTCTGTGTGTGTGATTTGGAACGGGTCTCTGAGGTTTCGATTCAATCATATTCTCTAGTACTTCATAATTTGTGATTAATTGCTAATTTTGATTTCATTCCATCCTTTTTGTTTTTCTCAGAGGTCTGATGCCACGTCGCCGGTAGCGAAATTGCAGTGACCGGTGATGCTATGATTGGACCAAAATCGATTTAATATTTCGCATGTTGATAGGAATCTGTGGATGAATTTTATTCCATTCGTCCATGGAGCCGTTTGCTGCGATTACATTTTCTCAATTCAAATTCATTTTTTTTAAATCAACAAATTTCTGTGATGTCTTGAGGCCTATGATGAATATTTTGTTTATTTGGAATTACCGTCTGAACATAATTTGATGAGAGATCGACTATCTGAGGCTTCAAAGTTCAATCACTATTTTCTTGAATCAAAATTAATCCTTTTGTGTTTTTGAATTTTTAATTTGAGGGAAGTTGCCAAGATTCAACCTGTTTATTTTAAATTTAAATTGAAAAATGGGTGGTTAAGAGTTTTCATGTTTATGTATAATATTAAATAATATTTTATTAAAAAGAATGTTTTGGTAAGGAAAAACTTTTTCTAAAATCTGCTATTTCAAAGTTTATTTTCAGATAGGGTCCGTGGCAAGTGTTAAAAGGAAATTTCAATTATACGTTAGCTGGAAAATAAAAATTTTCCATGAAAATAAAGTTGAATTTGTATTTTTGGATATATGATATTTTTCATGGAATTCGTTAGCAATCAAACATAGTCTTACAGTTAACTTTCCTTCCGTTGGCCTTGTTTCAAATATTTTATGTTATTTAAAAATCATTATTCAAAATTCCATTTTCTTCAAATAATAGTTCTCAAACGTGAGCTTAATTGCAGTCCGGGTTGATTGGCAACATTTTTAATAAAAGAAAGCAGATTTTAATAAAAATGATGGAATGTGATGCATTTCACGTGTGTTTAAAATTTGGGTTTTATAGGAAATTGAAAAAAATTATGAATAATAATTTCGTGTTGTAAAATGAAATTATGGCATCAAGGTACGTTCATAGGTGTGATGCGTCTTTTTTCTTATTTTATGGACTACCATAAATTTGGGTGTTCATTTGCAATTTGGATAATACATACACCCTTGGGGCAATGTTAAAATGCAAGACGGTTGAATTGGAGGGGGTCCAATCTCTATTAATAAATGGTCTCGAATGATGATCAAAATATTAAATGGAATTTGATGCTAATTAATATACGTGTACATGAATAGAACTGTGTTTTGAATGTAAAATTTTAATTAAATGAATGTAAGTGTTAATTAATTAAAAATTAATAATAGAGAATATATTCATAAATGTGAAATTATAATTAATTTTAATTAAATAAATGTTAATGTTATTTCCTTGAAAATTAATAATGAAATTTTGTATTATTTATTACTGTTTGTAAATTAAAATATATATTGAAAGACGAAAAGTAAATGGATAAACAAAAATAATGTATTATTGAAATAACTGACTTGTAATAAAGTTTTAATCGTTCAAAAAATGATTTTCAGTTGATGTGATATTTAATGTATTATAGATAAAGATTTGACAATAAACTTTTTTCATACTAATAGGATATTTGGAAATAGTTATTAGAGAACGGACATGTCAGTTAGTTTTAAGAAAAATGCAATGAAAATAAAATAATAAAAAAACTGAGATATAATTGGCAAAATGAGCAAAAAAATAGAGAGATCAATTGTAATTAAAATGTGGTTTAGATATTATGGTCGGAATATAATTGCCTTTTTCATCATTTCTAGATGTATTTTCAGAGTTCAATGAGCATGATGTGCATCTCTATCTTTCGCGTTGCTCTTTCCCTCCCATAAGTTGACATATTGGTGGCCAACTAGTCATATCATTTACTTGAAGCGAGTAATTTGATGGAGGCGATTTCACCTATAGAGTTTAAGGAGCGAAATTGACACCTCTATCCCTCGATGGGCTTATTACCACCCATACGTTGATGTTGACGGGTGGTCAACACATCACATCATTTATTTGAAGTGTGTAGTTTGACAGAGGCGACTTCCACCTGAGCCCCATCCAATTATTGGTCTCTACTTAGTAATTGTTTGTTTACCATTATCTTTTTTTTTACTCAATTTCAACCAAACTTTTTACTACATTTTGACAACACATTCTCAAAAAAATTAATATTCCAAAAACGATATTTTTAATGGGCATCAAACAGGGGTTTATGGTGATACGATTCGTGACCCTTTAGTTTGGTGGGCCCAACTGATGCCATATTCGAGAGCTTTCTTGATTCCTAATGTTCATTATTAGTTTTTGCATAGTAAATTATCTTTGGCTCACTGTCGAATGTCTTTAAACTTGCTTACGTGCTTTCATCAAGGACGTGTTCGGTAGAAATTAAAATCAGATTAAAATTGAAAAATTAAACGATATTGTTGACTTTTATTATACGAGTGAGACCCAATAACGATTATATTTTCAATTTTAATTGGATTTTAAGTACGACCGAACACTCCCCAAGTCTAATGCGATTCTCGTAATGCTCGGGTACCTAGCCTCTACTTATGATATGAGGCATCACGGGTTTGGAGTCTCACTTTTGAGAGTTCTAATTAAGGATTCTCCACATACAAGGAAAGGATTGTTTTTGCCGATGCTCATGAATTAGCCTAAGCTTTATACCTATTGGCAAATACACTTCATTTTGCCAATGTTGGAATTAAGTTGTAGCCTTACGCTTTCTTTACATTACATGAATCGGTTTAATCATGCTCATTAGCCTCGACCTATCCACGTATGTCCAAAAGCATGAAGGTCATCCTTATCACTTAGATCAGGGCTTGACCCATGTGGCCCACCAGCCTCGAGTTACCATATACATTCGAAAGCACGAGGTCAACCTATCATTTAGACACTTGCTTGGCTTCTGAGGTTCATGAGCCCTGACTTGCACATTAGGTTTGGCCTCTACATGATTCCTCAGTGGAAACGATTAGGGCTCCATGTAAGATGGATGCGTAACCACAGTCCTCCAAAATTCGAGGCTGCCATTTATGTTATGTGTTATACTCTGTTTGGACCTCATCTTTTCTACAAACCTTGAGTAAGGGCTTGAACATGACAATCTATCCTTTGATCAGTGCTTAGATGTTGAGTTGGTTGAGGTAGGTGCTAACTAGGAAGGGATTGAGGCTTGGTTGTTGCCTTGGAGGAGGCTTTGGCATGACCTAAGTTAGGTACTAGCTTGGATGACGGTTAGGCATGACTTCGGATAAGGCTTAGTCGTGACTTAAGCCTAGGTCGAGGCGATGCTTAAAACAATTTGAACGATGTTTAAGTTGCAAAATTTAAGAATGGGTGTGGTCTTGTTTTGGTTCGGTTCGATTCTGAAGGGAATCGAACCGAATACCAATGAGAATATTAAAAATTGAATCATTGATTCCATATCCAACTATAAAACTGAACCGAAACACAAACAATTGGTTTAGATCCTGTCAATTATAAAAATAAAGCATGAAACTATTTGTCAATTGAAAATAGACAAAAATAGAGTGTGAAATCACCTATCATTTTTTTTAATTTAACAATACAAAAAATCAATTAAACAAGACAACAAACAAAAATTCACTCCACAACTCAAGATCAACTTGTAAAGGCGAAAAAGATAAACTATTAAACATAGCATAAACGATAAAATTTCAATTGAAAAATAGTTTTTAAGAAAATCCATATAACAATAACCTGATTATCTTTAGTAATCCTCGGAGAGTTTGATTCTTGATGGCTAATCACTTTAGAAACAACGAAAAATTTGAATTCTTATGAAATATTAAACTATAAACATATTTTTTCCTATTAGGTTGCATTAAAGTTATGATTTTGTAAAATATATATAAAATTATTTGGACTTGAATTTTAATTACCCATTAAAAAAAAGAAGAAGAATATGGAAAATGAAATTTGAACGTGATAATATTTTAGGGGTTTAGTGTTCAAAAATCTAGTGTATATTGGTTTAAGTGAAAAGAGAAATTTGAGAGAACTAAATTCACTGCTGTTTCTCAGGGTAGCACTAAGAACCGAATTAGAATTGATCGGTTATCGATGCATCGTCCCAAAATCAACACATTTAGTAGAGGAATTGGAATTGAACCGAATCGATTGACTCTATTTGGTTAAGTCTGATTCCATCGATTCCGGTAAAAAACACAACCCCTAACAAATTTGGCCTATTATCTGTACGTCGGTCTCCAAGTGGAAGTGACTAGGACTCCAGGTAGTATGGAGCCATAACCAACTTAATGATGACGTTTGACCAAATTATGAAGTAGAAATGATGTACTTAGTCCGTGTTTGATGGTTATTATTATGTAAAGATGATATTTTTAATAATGGTATTTAAAGATACATGGTTAAAAAGTCGAGAAACATCCGAATTTACCATCATGATATTTTATTGTGAGAACATAGTTAAAAATAAATATGACAAATATAATGTTTTGTTTTAAACATGACTTAATCACATTAATAAATAGAAAGATAAATTGTATTTTCATCCCAACCTTTCTCAAAAGTTACAGTTTCGTCCTCATCCTTGATTTCTAGCGGCAAACTTTGGTGATGTATGCTGCCAAACACAAATAGGGACGAAATGTGCAAGTTTTGGAAAAGATTGGGGACGAACCTGAAATTTACCCATTATAAAATGACGTCTCCTTTCCTAACGGATAATTATACAACGGCTACTTCCCTTCTTCACATCGATCATTTTACTTTTTCTTCTTCTTTCTCAAGGGAATTATTCGCTAAAGTGAGATTTTTTCATTGCTAAAACAATATTCTTGATTAACCCATCTGCTTCTCTTTGGGATTTGCGGGTTCTTCAAGAAAAAAAGAAAAGGGTTCGAATGGTTAATAAAGAAAAGGGATCAAAATGTTGAGTACTAGTTGTTCTGATCATCACAAGAATCATTACAATTCTACGTCGAGGGGGTTCTTGACCCCGCCTCCGGCATGGAGGACAAGCTGGTGTTTGCCGCCGTTCCCCGCGTCAGAGAGGAAGCCTAGGAGGTCGCCTCCGGCGAAAGGTGATCTCTTCCATGTAATTCACAAGGTCCCTTCTGGGGACTCGCCCTATGTCAAAGCGAAGCATGTTCAGGTGATTTCTGAATAACCGCAATTTCCTGTTCCAAATTCTAATTCAGTACATGATGTTTTGTATTTCTCCTGAAATTTTGATGATTGAGTATAACGATTAATTTCTTTCTGATTAATCATTGGTTAGATTCTTGAATCTTGACATTGATGTTTATATGTTTGAATGTTTTATTTTGATATTTTCTTTGTTTCTTTGGGTACAGAATTTGCGTTTCATTTTATGAACTCGACATATTTCCTTGAAAGTAGCTAATTTGGTCCTATTGTGATTTTTACATAAAAATTTCTATAAACTGATTACGTGATAAGAAATAAAAAGAAGTCAAAATCCTGTTCGTTGTTTTATCTATCACTATATAATCAACAAATATGCTCTGAGTATAATTCACAGTTCTCTCTGTTAACTTTTGATACAGCAGCTATTTTCAATTAATTTTGCTGAAAAAATGCCAAGAAATGTTCAAGACATTTGATCAGAGTATTATTAACTAAATAATATCCTGTGACTTCAAATGAAATTAAGGAAAAAATGACTTGGGTGAGAAAAATAAATTCCTCATAATTGAATTTTTCTTGGCGTGATCAACAATTCTTGACTCATATTTGTCTGATTAATTCATTTGGAGAGTAGTTGATAGAGAAAGATCCAAGCAAGGCCATTTCCCTGTTTTGGGCTGCAATAAATTCCGGCGATCGAGTTGATAGTGCCCTTAAAGACATGGCAGTTGTTATGAAGCAATTGGACCGGTCTGACGAGGCAATTGAGGCCATAAAGTCATTCCGTCATCTTTGTCCCCCCGAGTCTCAGGAGTCTCTTGACAATATACTGGTTGAACTCTATAAGGTGAAGTACAATCATCTGTAGCTCGTGTCATTTCCTCTTGAATATTTTTTACACCTTGGCTAAAACAGCTTCACAAATGCTTTTGTTAGTGAATGAAATACTTTGCAAGTACGATCATTTCAACTCTATAAGGTGGAGTACCATCATTTGAATTCTAAATTGTGTGTTTCCTCTTGAATTTTTTATGCATTGGCTAATTACCATTAGAGGTTAACACCTTCACAAATGCTTTTATAAGTGAATGCAATTCATTTGATACTTTCTAAGGCACACGTGTATAGGTGCTAGAGATTCACTCATTTCATGCTAGACTATGTGAAGCCCAATATTACTTTACACTTATCCCTTTACCTCTCACTGAGAACGAACCATTATAAATCTGTGTGTTTGTGTTTCTGATTTTGTTTGTTTATGATCGCTCTCATAATTGGGGTTTGGGCTTATTCCCTAACATTTTGCAATCATAACACTGGAATATTGGGATATCGAAACAATTAAGTTTCACGTTTCACCTTAAATTTTCATGTTTATGCAGCGATCTGGAAGGATCGATGAAGAGATTGAAATCCTTCAACAAAAACTGAAGCAGTTGGAAGAAGGGATTGCTTTTGGTGGGAAGAGGACAAAGTTGGCTAGATCTCAAGGGAAGAAGATTCAAATTACCATTGAAAAAGAATATTCAAGGTAGTTGTCTGCATTTATTTATCCTCAATTTATAAATGAATATTATGATTTCGCTTTAAATATGACTCCTCTTTTTCCTGTCGAAATACTCTGTAGATTGTTAGGGAATTTGGCCTGGGCATACATGCAGCAGGGAGATTACAAATCCGCTGAAGAGAATTATAGGTATCTCTTTGTGACATGTTTAGTAGGGAGAATTGGATAGTTGAACAACAGTAAGGAAGAAAAATCTCATTTTTATGTATTCTTTGTAGCAAACATGAACTCATTCTTTCAATATAAAGGCTCATAGGTGAAATATTTAATGCAGAAAAGGACTCTCTTTTGAATCAGATAAGAATAAGCAGTGCAATTTGGCTATATGCTTGATGCACATGAACAAGCTGACAGAAGCCAAATTTCTGCTACAAACTGTAAGAATTTCATCTGAAAATGAGCACGTGGATGAATCGTATGCTAAATCCTTAGAGCGTGCCACTGAAATGCTCGCTGAGTTGGAGTCTCAGCATGTTCTTAAGCCAAAGGAATGGGGAAAAGATTCTGATTATAGAAGAAAAAACCATCAGTTTGGTACGGGACAAGGGGACTCAGATTCTGCACATAAAATGGCACAAGACTCACCATTTGGCGCTGGAAGAATTCCTAAAGTTCCATTCACACAGCCAAGATGCTCGTGGTCATTCGATGGTGGAGATCAAAGAAGAGGATGGTCGGTAGAGGATGCAAATTCTGCACGCAAAATAGCACACGACTTACCATTTGGCACTGGAAGAATTCCAAAAGTTCCATTCACACAGCCAAGATGTTCGTGGTCATTCGATGGTGGAGATCAAAGAAGAGGATGGTCGGGAGTGGATGCAGAAGGAGGTTTTTGTCGAAAATTGTCCTTTGAGCAATCTACTAATGGCGAAAATAAGCAGTTTATAGCAAACCAGAATCTTGAATCCAATGTTCCAGAAGCAATACCCAAAATTTTAGGAAACCATTCAGCATCTGTTGATGGAAACTGGATAAAGAGGCCACTGGGTAATCTTTCTAGAGTTGACAGTGAAGAAGAATGGAAAGTTGTCGACTTTTTGGCATATGATGGCCAGAAAAAATCTTCTATGGAGGAATACAATTTGCCCTTGGAATTAGACTTTTCTGGTGATTGTACAAACTCTAGAGAAACTTCTGAAGGGGATCATGGTCTGAGTTCCAATTTCACGAATGCATGTAGTTTGGAACCTAAAGCAGCTAAAGGTGATTCAGAAAATCTAAAATCAGCTGAACTGCAGAAAGATTGGAAAATAACAGATGAATTTTTAAATTGTCAAAGTAAAAATAAGAGTTGGGCTGATATGGTTGAGGAGGATGAGGAAGAACTGCAAATTTGGAGTAGTAGTTTCCGAGGAAAAGATTGGGATTTGACTGATAAAGAGTTTAGTGATGAGAATGTGGACACCAATATAATTCCCGAGAGCTCTACATTACTGAATCAGTATGAGGATTTAAGCCAGAAGACTGACACACTAGATATGAAATCTGGATACCATACTCAACCTGAGAATGCTGCTTCATTAAAGAACCAATCCGTGAAGCGTTCTCTGTGTTTTTATCAGCATCAGAAGCACGGCAGAGCTGAAAAACACTGTCCATCGTCATCTCCAAGGAAAGCTTCGAACTTTGGAGGTCATTGCTCAATTCCATCAGAGAACTGCACTCCTACAAATCGTAAAAATTTAATGCGGAAAAAAAGATTACAGGTCTTCGAGGATATAACGTGCGATCCTGGAAGTCCAAGACGCTGATGGCATGTTCATACAAAACATCACTGCTGTAAATCGGAGCAAAATAGTGTAAATACCATAGCAATATGCACTCTTTGTTTGAAAGATTTGTTATTGATTCATTACGACTTGATTTTATGCATTCATTTTTTTAGTCAATCTTGGAACTCAGTGCTGTAAATCTTTTCTAGATACACAAGTTACATTTTGGTTTGTGACAAAACTTTTGTAATTACAATGATTGATAATTGTTTTTCTTGATGCTTCATGTCTTCATTCTTCTCGCTCCAATTCAGTGAACTTTTTTCTGTATTCTTCTTGTTGGATTTTTGTGTTACAAACTTGTTAATCCTTGTTTATCTACCATTTTTAAAAATCTTGACAGTGAATCATTTCGTAATAGGTGAAGGAAAGGAGAATTGACGATCAAATAAGTTTGATAGTCAATTAGACAGCACAAGTGGTCTTTAAGCCTCAAGTCCGTATCATTCGATAATCGTGGAAGTAATTGAACTTCAGTTTTCTTTATTGTTTTGTAAAATCATTCTATTAGCGGAGTATGAGCCATGTGCATGTTAATTTTCGCAAATTGAGCTACAATGGCTAGGTCACGATCCCAGAGCCCGTTCTTCCACCTATGACGTTTAACCCTTACTTGAGCCCCTTTTTTTAAAAAACTTTTTTTAAACCGCGTATTCTGCATTTAAATCCAATTTTTTTCCAAATTGTTAACCACATGTTCTTCAAAAAATCACTATTACAAAACTCATTTTTTACACAAAATGGAGCTCAAACATAGCCTTATTCTTCAACTTGGCCTTGGACAATTGAGAATTTTGCTAAGCGCATATTTGGGCTCTATTGAAATCAAAATGTAGGGAAAAATAGAATAGTGATTTTTTGAAGAACTAATTACAGCTAAACGTGCGTTGCACGTTATTTTGAAATGCTTTATAAACGCTGTAAAAATGATATTTGAAAATCAGTAAATATAAAAAAATTGTTAAAAAAATGTTTCTGTGAAATGAACTTTTTATACCATTCAGTTATTTATTTACGTGTACGATAATAATTAACATTAATTTATATATATCCTACTATAATTCACTCAATTAATTTTTCAAGTTCATGCACGTACACTTTATATATTTTGGAGGCTGTTCAATTACTCTTGAAATACTACAATTGAATTATTCATGCATGTGTATGTATACTAATTAACATTTACTTATGGATATATAAAATTTAATATTAAGTCATCAAGTTCATATACACATGTTTTGGGAGTTATTCAATTATTATAGAAGTAGATAAATTATTCAAGTTCATGTACACTTATTTATTTTCAAGATTATCATTTAATCTATGATATAACGACATTTGTCTAAATGTATATAAATTATTCATTTTCTATATTCATTGATTCAAATTAATTAAATTTCATGTTGGTTCATGTACACCATTTTTGTTTAAATATATATAAATTATTCTTTTTCTATATTCATTGATTCAAATTTATTAAATTTCATGTTAGTTCATGTACTATAAATTATTCTTTTTCTATATTCATTGATTCAAATTAATTAAATTCCATGTTAGTTCATGTACTCCCCATTTGTTTAAATGTATATAAATTATTATTTTTTATATTTATTAATTCAAATTAATTAAAGTTTATGTTGGTTCACGTACACCCCCTTTTTAAAAATATACATACATTATATTCTTTTTCTATATTCATTGATTCAAATTAATTAAATTTCATGTTCATGAATCAATTTGATTGCTCTCATACAATTCAATTATTTATTTACGTGCATGTTTAATAATTAATATTCAATTAAATATATATTAAAAAGGGAAATGTAAGGTACTATTGAAATAATTAAATTGTAATATGGCTAAAATCGTCCAGAAAATGATTCTCAATTAATGCGATATTTAATATATTATAGATGTGTGGTTAAAATGAAGGGAAGTTTTTGATTTACGTGTAATATTATTTTATCGAAAAATGTAGGATTGAAAAGAAAAGAAAGGAGAATATTTTTTTTAATAAAATAGAACCCAAATAGGGGCTAAATATATTTGAGATTTTTTAAAATTTCAGTGTAAAATCTTATTGGTTTTCACCAAACAGACCGACATCAATAATAATTTAATCGAGTGGGCATTCTTAGCTATATGAAATTTCCAACAAAATCTTAATAGAAGATTCCCATCCCAATCAAATCAAATATTGGCTGTGCTGCAAATAGTAATTAATCAACTCTAAGCATGGACCACGAGGCACACTCCCGAGTCAACAACTACAACTCGCCCGAGTTTCCCCCACCCAATGAGAGTGCATAATTTTTTTTTTTTTTGAATTTATTTGAAACCTCCGCCCATTCTATTCCTGTCTTATTCGCACCGATTTTCCGCCAACTCACTATTCCAAATTATTAGCCAACTTCACATTAAATATAGGGAATTACACCATTAGTCCTCAATTCCATTATTCTAATAGCAGGTTGGGTCCTCAACATATATAAAGGACAGCTTGATCCTCAAATTTTTATCATAATTGTGCAATCAGTAGTAAATTACACAAACTGTCAAAATCCTATCATATACAAATGACTCGTATAGCCATAGGAAAAAAATTATCTACCATTCTCCATTTTTAGCTATTTTAGACTTCCAGTTTAGCAACTTAAATATTGTCATTAATGCTCGGAAGATCCTGTTTCTTGCATTGTAGTGATTTCAAGACAGAGAAATAAATACTTTCTAACTTAATTGAAGGAAAAAAAAAAAAAAAGAACTAAGCCCATGTTTGAGCCACATTATTTTTTTTATTCTCGTTCTTCTACTTATTTTCAACCACATATTCTTCAATAAAATAATATTTTTCATTACATCAACAACTTTTCATTCTTTTTCAACCACACATTCTCCATCAATTTACTATTCCAAAATACATTTTTCCAAAATAACGTGGTCATTCAATTGAATTGCCGTGTCATTTGTATAAAAATAAACACATCGTATTTGGAGAAAAAAAATCTTAAGTACATGAAAATATGCACTAATTTCAAATGGGACGAGGGAGGAGTTTAGCAAATTGAGCTATTTCAACCAAATAATCTAATATGTTGCACTAGGGGATCGAGAGGGGATGCTAACGAATACATTGTATGAACTTAAGTTTTGCTTCCCAACTTGACGTCACATGATAACGATGATAGTGCAATTAGAACAATATGTTATTTTTAAAAGTTTAAGGTGAATTTGTTATCAAGTCAAAAGGTTGAGGATCAATGCTACTGTATAAAATGTCATAAAACACAGGCACTAGAACAAGTAGTTACACGTTCTCCCACACGAAAAAAAAAAATAATAATAAAAATTATTCATTCCCCGATATTATTGGCAGCCCAAGAAATATTGATTCTGTTCGGCCCTGCAGTGGCAGTGCACTTCTCTCTACTTTTTTTACTCACTCTCTCTAATTAATTTACGACCTCACTTCTTATTTATCCTCTTACTTCACTTTAGCTCTCTTTATCGTGCCACATTTTGGGAAAAAATGAATAGCCACACCAGATTTACATGTACAGTAGTATAATATGTTTGTATAGATTGCTTCCTTTAAACCCTAAAGCAAAAAAAAAAGTCGAAGTGTGGTTCAACTGTCTTGCTTTCTTCCTGGGCTCACTCTACTCCACCAGATCTACACATTTTCGAGGTAAGGAATACGCAAAATAAAGTAGATTTTTTTGGATTAATCTGTAATGTGGTTTAAGACTAAAGAGCTTGATTTTGTGGTAGAGAAGATAAGTTCTTGATATGTTCTGTTTACGGTTTCTTTTTCTTTTTTCCTGTTTTTCCTGTGCTTAAGTTTGCTGAATTTGGATTCTGTGGGTAGAAAGTTGTGAACTGGGGCTGGAAAATTGATAATTCTGGAGTAAGGTAATAATTTTTATTGGGCAAGTTGGAAATAAGTAATTTATTATTTCAACTGTAAGAGTTTTGAAACAAGGTAACTTCTTTAGTTAGAGGAACAAAAAAAATAAAGAGTAAGTTATCCAAACATGTGTGGAGTTAAAAAATTTAAGCTTAGCCACACATGATCCTTAACTGCCACTCATATGTTGTTTGGCAGCTTCTGATTTCAGGGGTTGTGTTTATGTCTAGTCCGGCATGATATAAGTGTTGGGGGTTAATATGTTCTTAAGTTAGCAAAGAATATGAAAATGGAATTAAATACTATATAAGGTAGTCAATTCTATAATGTTTGGTGTTGTGTGCTGTTTTTTTTGTAGCATAAGTAAATGTTGACTTGATGCATCTCTTATTTCTCTAGACTTGAAAACTGAGCTGATTATTGGTGATCTCCAGCCCATTTTGAATTCTAGTCTACTGGAGGTTGGCTGTGTCGAACCAAAATGGAGGTTCCGATAGTGCAGTTTGCTGGAGATTCAGTGGAAATGCACCAGAATACAATACAGAATCACTCTTCGGCTGAAGACTCTGTGGATAAGCTACATAGTCCAGAGTTATCAAAAGAACCTTCCACCAAGAGTGGGAAGAAAGTGTCAGAGGGTTCAAGACTGAATTCCACAACAACACCAAAGGGTGCTTCTACTATTGGCGTGGTTGCAAAAAGGAAAATAGATACTAAGAGTGGTTCCAATACTAATTTGAGTGGTATCAAATCAACTTTAACCAAACCAACTATAAGCAGTGCCTCGCACTATTCTGGATCGGCTCCAGTGACTAGAAGGATCAGCACTGGAGGTTTACCTGAAAGGCAGACTGTTTCACTTACAAAACGTCCAGGCAGTGGGGTTAATTCGGCTGTGGGTAAGAAGACAAGTTCTTTAGCCTCAGAACCTCTAAGGAAATCTCTTCCAGAAATGCGGAGCTCGATGCCTTCTCTTGGTGCTAAACCTGCAAGCAGGCCGAGCATTCCAAAAACACCAAGGTCGTTTCCCGCTTCACCTTCACCTTCACCTGTTTCTAAAACACTTACAACATCTACCAATTCTGATGCTAGCAAACAAGAATTTAATCGAAGGACTTCACTGAGATCCTCTCCTTCTTCGGTCTCTTCGAAAAGGATTGCTTCTTCATCAATGGATAGCACTGGCAGCAGCAGTTCAGTTAGAAAGTCTGTTTCAAAGGTTTCTTCCCCTTCTAATCGAGTCTCCAGTGGGACCAAGGCTGGGGTTTTGTCAACATCACTAGACAGACGATCTAATTTATCTGGCCGTAAGAAAGTGGGAACTCCTGAAAACCGGGATTCACATCTCATCATGCTTCCTCAAGTGGAGGTCAGAGCTGGTGATGACATGGTATGAATTTCAGCCAATAAGCTCCAGAAGAGTTCATTAATATTTCTTGATATGAACTCCAATCACATTTATCAAAGTTTTCAGATATTTTATTTTCCATATTAATCTATGGAAACAAACCTGAAATTTATGTTTTCCAAGATTAAAATGAAATACCTATTATCCATGTAACTTTGACGTGCTGCTTCACATCATATATTTGTCATGTTGGACTGTGCTTAAGGCCTATTGACGAAATTGGGGTTGCACAAAAACACTATCTATTTTTAGAGCTGCCCGGGGCATGATTACTTTCGTTGATATTGATTCCTCTGAAAATCATATATATCATTTGCTATTATACATTCAGGTTTAGGAATTTTTAGTACACTCTTACTATGCGACCCTTGCCACCCTGTCATATTGTAGTAATTTATGAATGCCTTTTTCAATTTTGTGCAAAGAGGTTGGATCTTCGGGGTCACAAGATACGCAGTCTCAACAGTGGTGGATTGAACTTGTCAACAAATCTAGAGGTACCTTAATCTTTCTACGATGCTATATTTCTAATTGAATGGATTTCACCTTTCTCACTTCCTCCAATTATTATTTACTAACGCGAATCCAATTGATATCATTGAATACTTTATTTTTCTATTTTATAGATATAGCCTCTGTTTGATCCCCATTTTTTTCAAGAATTCATTTTTGCAAAACTCATTGTCAACTGCACATTCTCCCATAAAATAATTATACACGCATTTCAAAATCTTTTCCTTACTTTTAACCACACGTTCTTCAAAAAATCACTATTCCATAATACATTTTGTCCCAAAAATAGGGATCAAATAGGGGCATAGTGAAAAGTGTTTGAAGTTTTTGTTAATAACTTTTTGTACATGGGGCATTCGTCTCTCAATGCTGCATAGCTGGTGAGAGTAACCAGCAACACTAAGACTACATTCTTCCTCTTTCTTACAAGTAAATATATGATGGTGGGCATGCCCATGGCAAGGTGCCAAGCTTACCATTTCTTTTGGTAAAACGAACATGTATGCTGAGGAGCAAAATTAATTGCTTGCTAGTAATTATATAGTTTCATAGGGTTTTGATATAATGTCAGTGATAAATGGCACAAAAAAATGGGAGTAGCTGATTCTAGATCTCTGATATCTTTTGTCTTTTTTGAACAAGATATACAGCATTATACACGACTTCCATAAATACCTTTACGTGTACTAATTCTCTTTGAATCACGACTTAAATTTGGAAACTAGATTTTCGTTTCACTTAAATTCTGTGTCTGTTAACACCTCATGTTACATTTTCCATTCTCCACACTAGAAATTTTAGTGTCTGGATTACCCTTATTGGCCTCAAGTTATTCAGCAACACTGTGGTAATACCAGATAGAGAAAATTCACATGATGTCTTCTAAATTGACTTCCCATTTTTTGTAGTTTGTTTATCTCAGAGACAATCTCTTGTCTACACTGGATGGCATTGAAGTTTTAAAGCGGGTGAAGGTTGTACAAATTACCACATTATATATTCTTGATGGAACATGGCCAGGTTTCTATTGTTTATCCAAATCTGCTAATAACTATCGTGTCTATTGCTTTCAGGTTCTTGATTTGAGCTTCAACAACTTTAAAGGACCTGGTTTTGAACCACTCGAGAATTGCCAAGCACTTCAGGTGATTATTTTGCTATTCCATGTTCTCAGAAGGATAAGATTCATAGACTGCTTTAATCTAGCATCTCATGACTTTTTAAGATGATTCTTTTGTAGCAACTCTATCTTGCTGGAAACCAAATCACATCACTGACGAGCCTTCCCGAGCTTCCAAACTTGGAGGTGAACCTCTGTGAAATGTTTGAAAATTTTCTTTTCTGAAGTTGTCGATATTATCATATTGCGAACTCCATATGGATATGGTACTAATTCTTTTGATTTGTTGTTGTTTGTTACAGTTTCTCTCTGTTGCCCAGAATAAGCTCAAGTCCCTTTCAATGGCGAGTCAACCTCGTCTACAGGTTTTTTTTTCTTTACTGACCTGACCTAATGCTCGTGATTTCTTATTTTCTGCAAAAAATCATTTCCGCTTTTTACAGGTATTAGCTGCTAGCAAGAATAAAATATCAACATTGAAAGGCTTCCCATATCTACCAGCGCTTGAGGTTTGTTGAACAAATCTGAACGATTATTTTCATTTTAATGACAAGGCAGACTTTATTATTTGCTCATTTGGATTTTGTAATATTTTGATGTCGTACAGGCATTCTGATTAGCATAGAGTTTCTAGAATCTACATATTTGTGAACTTTCTGGAAATTATATATATCTGTAACTAAAAATAAGAAAACACAATTGTCTTTTGAGGGAGTTCGAATCAAGTAGTTGTTACATAAGGTTCAGTACTCATTTTTTTAGTTTTTCCTTGTGGAGGTTTATACTCACTTGTTTTAGTTTCTTCTATAAATTACCAAGAGGCGTCGTATAATTTAATTAATCATGCTTAAATGTGTCAAAGTGTTCCACATTGGCTTATGATTTCTAATCGTATTGATGTACTGATTTTACCATGAGGGCGTGCAGAGTTTACGCATGGAGGAGAATCCCATACTTAAGATGCCTCATCTAGAAGCAGCTTCCATCTTGCTTGTTGGCCCAACTTTAAAAAAGTTCAATGACAAGGGTAATTGTCATAGTTTCACTTAAGTCCTTACTACTTTCTTCATCAAAATATTAGTCTGTCTTTTCACTCTCCTCTCTCATTTGGATACTCCACCTTACAGTTTCCTCAAATTTTCGAACCTTGCATCATGTCTTTTGAGATCTAATTCCATTTCTAGCTTTAAAATGTCAACCATCTTAATATACTTTTCTTCTTTACCTCGTAACATAAATTATATTCTTTTCTGTAATTCATTTATGAAAATATTTTTTGTAGATCTTTCGCGTGAGGAGATAGCAGCTGCCAAGAGGTATCCCGCTCATACTGCCTTGTGCATCCGTGGTGGTTGGGATCTTTGCCGTCCTGACCAGGCCATAGGTGAGTGTTGGACAATGTCCTTGTTTTGGCAGCCGCTGGATTTATATGGTTCTGTCTTACCCTTGTACATATTTTTCAATCATTGTCTCATTACATTTTGATAGAGGTGGTCTACAAATTGGGACCTTTTATTTACTAGAAACAAACTGATACCAGTTTGGCCATTTTAGCAATGAGGAATACATTTCGAGTGGATGTGGATATAACAGAATGATTGATTTGGGGGTTTGAATGTAAAGTTTGTGTCTTATCAAAAAAAATTGTAAAGTTTGTGCAAGGAGCTTTAAGACTAAGAATATATATTCTACATGCGAAAAATGGTGTCTGTGTGTGAAGTATGAGAGAGGATATATTGTTAGTAAAAATTGCAGTTGTATATTAGCGTTTCAGACTCCTATCACTTGCCGAGAGTCATACATGTACGTTGTTTTGATATTGGACATGGGTATGACATGGTAACTTAAGTGCCAAAGTAAAGGCTTCTTCTAAGGTCAAGGCACATGCCTCCAGTATGAAATCCTGAGAAATGAAATTGAGTTCTTCCACTATTGTGGTCCAGATTCAAGATAATATATCTTCTGAATCTTTGGGGAGCAAAATGTGCATTACTAGGCTGGTTTGGGTGCTAATGAAATGTAAAATTATCACTGAGTATGTTGGGACTGGGGCAATCTTTCACAACTCGAACCATGGGGCATGAGGTTGCATTTCTTGCAGTTACGGGATGTACAGATTTTCCTAATTAAGTTGCAAAGATGATGTTTTTTCTCTTCATTCTGTTTATGTCTAACCACACCGCTTTCAACAGATTCAACATTTAAGTTTCTGCTAGAACAGTGGAGAGAACAACTTCCTCCTGGATACCTGCTTAAAGAAGCCTTCACTGACCAACCATTTGAGGGAGATGCTTGTTTTTGCCACTTTGAGTTCCTTAAGGACAATACTGAGAGTAGCGTTTCTGAATTATACTTGAAATACCAGTGGTTTATAGGAGAGGCAACTCCATCAAATTTTACAGCAATACCTGGTGCAAGTGCAGAGGTTTGTTATTGGTTTCCGGCTGTTTCATAGTTCTTGAACTTCAGAGTGTTATCTGATTTGTCACTTAAAGGTATGATCATTGCTTTGACTCCATTTTAGGTCTACTTTCCAAACCACGATGACATTGGAAGAATATTGAAAGTGGAATGCACACCCGTTCTGGGAGAGACTGAATATCCCACAATATATGCCATATCTTCACCGGTTTCTCCAGGTATTATTTCTCACATAATTGAGGAAGTAAATCTGATCACTGACATGTTTCCTACATAAGTTGAAATTTACTAAATCACTCTGTATGTATTTCCGTATGCATTACCAGAATGTTATTGTAATGATGGATGCATCCCTGAAGTTGACATTTATATAATCACGATAAGCTAGCAAGTGAACAACTGGTTGAATGACATAGCAATGAGCTAGTACACAGGAACTCCAGTACACCTTAGCCCTTGTTTGGTAGGGATTAAAATCAGTTTTTTAGTAGATTTTGATAAAAGTTGATGAAATGTATGGTTGGAAAGTTGTGGAACCCAAGAAACATGTGGTTGAAATTAATTGTTGACTTTGACTTAGATTAAAATTTGGATTTTAATCCGTACCAAACGGGGGCTTAATGTCAACTAATATGTGTTATATAATAAGAAGGCATAAAATATTTTTCCTGTAACTTCATGAATTATTTGAAGTAACAATATAATCAGGAGCGTTGTCTCCTACCCAGCAGGCTTGTTTCTCATCAACTTGATCATGGGACATAGGCTTGATAGATATTGCTAGGATGCACTAGATTGGAGGACCCTACATATTTGGGGCCTAGGCTCAGCATTTAGCAGTCCTCCACTCTTGTTTCTTCATCTTTGAGCGCTTTTGCTATTATGTTCTTTTGTGGTCAATCTTATCTAGAGCTTGTTTCATCCTTTTATGGTTTTCTTTTTTAAATCTATTACTTGACTTTGCTGTTTTCTTTTTGATCTTAACTAATACAGTTTTGTTTAGTACCTAAGGAAGTAAAACTTTACATAATTTGGAAGAGTTTCATGTGGCGATTGTCCATTGTTTTATGCCAATTAACTAAGTAGTCGTGTGTTTCTTTGTGAAGGCACTAGAATCCCCAAGGTCTTAAAGATCGATATGCATGGGGAGCTGGTGCAGGGAAACACAATCAAAGGCTATGTGGAGGTTGCATGGTGTGGGGGGAATCCAGGGAAAGGTGTTTCAAGGTACGGTTATCATTGATAATTCAATGGAGCACTTTGATTTTAACTATTCTTTTCTCCCATATGCACTTGTTATCCTCTGGACTGAGAGAATTGTTTTTATTGTTTTAGTTGGCTAAGGAAAAGATGGAATAGCAGCCCTGTGGTAATTGCTGGTGCAGAAGATGAGGAATATCAGTTGACCCTAGATGACATTGACTCATGTTTGGTCTATATGTACACCCCTGTAACTGAAGAAGGTGCTAAAGGGGAACCTCAATATTCAATCACTGATTATGTAAAAGCAGGTGTGAAGTTTGATAAAACTCTACTGCATCTTTCTGAGTTAAAACCTTTTTATCATTTATGTGATGCCACATGGCAAAGCAGCTGTGGGTAGTGAAAATTGTGACGTGCATATTGCTTGACCAAATCATTTTTGATGAGTTATGAGTTATCACATTAGACTAGTAATTTGTTAATTACTGCTAGACCTGAAGCACAGGCAGGACCTTGAACTGAGAAGAAGATGCAATATAAATGTGTCAACTTGAAAGTTCTATCTAGACACACCCAGAACATAACACATAGATTGGTTACTTTATTTTCATAGGTCCTCAACGCTCTCTTTTGCAATATGGACACGTCAAGATAATTTCTATTCTATAGAAACATCCTTTCATTTTATGTGAAGTCGTGGAATGTTTTAGCCATGCTGTAAGAAATCAAATTGTAACTTCAGTCTTGCGCTTATGTTGAATATGTTTCCAATGACTGTTGAATGCAGATGTGGAGAAATGTGAAGCTGGAGGCAAGGATAATGTTTGTACTTTTTGATGGATGTAATGTCAAAGCTTGTATTAAAGTGTTCAAGCATCGATGATATTTTATGTGTCCGACATGAATCTGATTTTTGTAGTTGTGTTCAAGTGTTTTAGTTTCTGCATGCTCAAAATTACATGTTCTTGCTGCCTGCTAATAATTAGATCTCTATGTTGGCTTATACAACTTGTTCCAGATGTTATGTGTCTCAGTTTGGATGATGCCTGCCTTTAATTTTCTTCTTCTTTTGACCTGGATTGGTTTCTTTCCAAAAAATTGACTGGAAGAAGTGATTCATTATTATATTTTACAATTTATGTGCAGCTCCTCCATCAGTGAACAATGTACAAATTACCGGAGATGCTGTTGAAGGAGGTATCATTAGAGGAGTAGGGGACTATTTTGGAGGAAAAGAAGGTCCCAGCAAGTTTGAGTGGTGCCGTGAGGATAAGGATACTGGGTTAGCATTTATCTCTTTGTTGTAATGTTATTTTTTTAATCGTAAAGTGACTCCATCAAATGGTCTAATCATTTGCTGCTACCTTCTTTTAACCTGTTGGTTTACTGGGTAACCAGTCCCAGTAGTGGTGAACAAAACTGCAATGGAGCTTTACTTGTTCTCTATTTTCTGTTTGCTCTTAATTTGCCTCGATATGACTGGGATATAGCTGCGGAGGCAATGTGTTTATCTCTTTATGGGCTAGTTACAAATTTACATGGTTCACAGTATTTCATTACTACATGATGTGATGCCAGCCTTGACCTCAACCTCAAGGCTTGTGTATTTGGCTTCACGCCCTTGTGCTTGTGCATTAGTATTGGCCCATTCTTGTCTAAAGGGAGCATACTTTCAAATCTGTGATTTTTTGGGCATGATCATAAGCTCTCATTACCTTAATGTTCCTGCCACTGATTCATCTAAGTTTTGTTCTACCCGTGACTTCCTTTTTCAGAGAATTTTCTTTGGTGTTAACTGGTACGAATGAGTATAATGTAACTAAAGATGACATCGGACGACGATTGGCTTTTGTTTATATACCTGTGAACTTTGAAGGTTAGCTCATTCTTCATAATATTGACTAGTCTAACAATATTACTCATTTAGCATTCCCTGGTTTTTTAGCTGATATTAACTCGTGTTTTTTTTCACTATTTTTCAGGACAGGAAGGAAAGTCTATGTCAATAACGTCTCAGATAGTTAAGCCAGGTCCTTTAGTAGCTTATTTTTAAATTCTGTGTGCTATAATGCTACAATATTACATGTGGTTGCCATTATTTAACTGTGCTGTCCCCTTTTCATCTTCTCTTTATCTGAATTACAGCTCCCCCAAAAGTAATGAATGTGAAAATAATTGGTGAATTAAAGGAAGGAAGTAAGGTTACTGTGACTGGTATTGTCACTGGAGGAACTGAAGCGTCCAGCAGAGTTCAGTGGTTTAAAACGAGTTCTTCTACCTTTGAGGCTGAAAAGAATCTTGAAGTGTTAAGTGCGTCAAAAATTGCTAAAGTAATATAAGCTCAACCTTTAGCATCTAGTTTTCAGTTAATCTCTGTGATGCATGATCTCAGTTGAGCTTGTGGCTTCTCTTAGGCATTTCGTGTACCTTTAGGAGCTGTTGGCTATTACATTGTAGCAAAATTTATCCCCATGACTCCAGATGGTGAAGCTGGTGAGCCAGCTTATGTGATATCTGAAACAGTAATTGAGAGTGAGTATATTCCTTCGAAAGTTGATACGGATTTAGGATAATGCTGGAGTTGTGTAAACATTATGTTTCTTAAACAATCGTCACATTAATTTTTGCAGAGCTTCCACCCAGCCTAAATTTTTTGTCTATAACCGGTGATTACTCAGAAGGTGAAATGTTGACTGCATCATATGGATACATAGGGGGTCATGAAGGGAAGAGTATCTATAATTGGTATCTCCATGAGGTAAATGTTATTCTTATTAATATTGCCCAGTGTATAATAATTTAATATTTCTGTCTATACACAACTACTGAAGGGGACAAAGAGGGAATGTTAAGGAAAAACTGCATGACATAAATGATAAAATATAAAAAAATAAAAGATGTAAAACCTTTCCAGTAAAAGGTGAAATTAAACATCCCTATTGACATCATTAACCAATACAAAGTAATTACAGCTTGATAGATGTGTCAAACCCAAAGAAAATCTTAATGCATTTACTCACTTGATAGTATTTTTACAATTTTTGGGGTTTCCATTTTATTTGTTATTGGTTAGCAACTTCTCAATTCTTGAATTTTCTGCAGGTTGAGAATGACCCCGGCGCTCTAATACCTGAGGTCTCGGGTCTTCTTCAATATCGTATCACAAAAGACGCCATCGGTAAATTCGTATCTTTTATATGCAACCCAGTACGCAGTGATGGAATCATAGGTGAGCCAAGAACTGTCATGGGACAAGGACGTGTACGGCCAGGTAGTTACATTTATAACTAGTTGGCGATTGTATTTCTGATACTTCCCATGCAATATGCCTTGCTGTGGCTTATTCAGATGACTCTGATTTTGCATTTTTTCTTGGGGACTGGGGGTTTAAGTGGGTATACTGAATTTTCACTTCATTTATCTACAAATCCTTTTGAGTATGGAGACATGTCTCTGCCAATTGATTGAGAGCACTGAAGAAGAATGGAAAATACTTGTGGTTCTGACATAATAACAGTGGCCAAATGGTTCATATATTACCTTGAAAATATTGAAAATGGGTGGATGATAGGTAATGTCAATTTTTAGAAGAGTACTGGCTAATTACCTATTATTGCTCTGGATTAGTGCTTATGGCGAATGTACTAAGAAGTTTTAGGAGTTCCATTTGGGTCTTCAAAAGGGTTGTTTCATTTTTTCCTATTATCCTCTCACAAAAATGAAGTAGCCAGAAACTGAGCTTCTCAAGAAGTCAGACTTATTGAGAGTTTTAAGTAGGATCGGCTTCCGATGTTACATATTGAACTTCTCAACTTGTTGAATTGTAGAGTTAGTTTAGAATCGTTAAATGTTGTATTAGAATCATTTCAATTACCTTTGGCCAAAGTTTTCAAGATATAACTAATTGATTCGATTAACTCCTTGAAATCTGGCAACTGAATTTCCAAACTATTGATAATTTGATATTTATTGATGTCACATGAACTAACAGTGTTTAATGCTTTAATTGTTTAAATTTATCCTTGATTACAATTGATTTATATGTCTGTTATATTTTATGTTTAGCAGGTGCTGGATGCCTAGATTCATCTATATATATATATATTTTTATCCTGTCTTATCAACTGTTTTATAGAAACCGTACAGGGCTGTTACCAGTTCAAATTCTGTATGTGGAAATCTAGTTTTCTTACAAATTTTTTGCTTACTATTTAGGAAGCCCGAGATTGCTTACTCTACAGATTATTGGAACTGCTGTCGAAGGCACTACTCTCAATGTAGAAAAAAAATATTGGGGAGGTGAAGAAGGAGAATCCATTTATCGCTGGTTCCGGGTATTTAATGCGACTTAAAAAGCATCATTAACCTGTTAATCTCTTTCATGTGGTTGTAAACTGAATAGCTACCAATTTTGATGGCATACTTCTTTTCAATATTTTGCAATGAATTAACATCATCTTATGACCAATTTGTGAAAATGTTTTCTATATTTCATTGCAGACTAGTTCGGATGGCACCCACATTGAAATTACTGGTGCCACTTCTTCATCATACATGCTTTCTGTAGCTGATATTGGTTACTTCATATCAGTGTCCTGTGAACCTGTTCGAAGTGATTGGGCTCGTGGCCCTATTGTCCTTTCTGAACAAGTTGGACCAATTGTGCCTGGTATTATGCATGGTCGCATTTACACTTTCAATGATGTTCTCCTCCTGACTATGAGCATCATACCGTTCTTTCTTTCTTTCTCCTTGGAAAATGAACTAGCGAGCAAATCTCTTTACATTCAAGTCTTGTAGACATGGAGTCAAACCAATAGTTTTTGATATTATTACAAAAGCATCATTTTTTTCCTGCTGGTATTAATTTTAAACTTAGCTGCAATCTTTTACTGCAGGACTACCAACTTGTCATTCACTTGAATTTCTTGGTTCCTTGGTTGAAGGAACACGTTTAAGCTTCATTGCTTCTTACAGTGGAGGGTAAGTCATTGATGAAAGCCTCAGTTCAAACTACATTATAGCTTCTTTCTGGACTTGGTTTAGCATTGTATTAAGGGTAATGCTTTAATTCTTCAGGATGCAGGGAGATTGCTTGTACGAGTGGTTGAGTGTGAAGGGCAATGGTCAGAAGGATAAACTTACTGTTGATGGTAAACTTGATGTTTTCATTTGTCTCACCTTCCTCATTTTTCACAATGGTCTGATTTAATAGGAAACATTTTCCTTATAGATTTCTTAGATTTAACTCTTGACAATGTGGGCGAATCTGTGGAGCTTGTTTATACACCTGTGCGGGATGATGGACTGAAAGGGAGCCCTAGGATTCTGGTTTCTGGTCCTGTTGCTCCTGGTGAGCGATTCCTCTGTTTTATTTATGCTATCTATGTCAATAGAGGCTATAATTCTCTTAAACATATTTCCATTCTTTTAGTAAAATCATTCGGATCTTCAGATAATACTCCTTGTATTGCATGGAAAACTGCCTTCAGCGGGCCCTTTAAACTATGTAGCATGAAATCCCCTGATTCTGTACCAAATTGGTCTCTCTTTTTAATGATGAGTCTTGACCTTTTTCCATTTATTCTTTTAATACAACATATCTTTTAATACAACATAGCAGCTATAATGCCCATTTTTCTGTTTTTGTTTAATTCGTTATTCATTGTATACCCTGCCTCATCCAATACATCCAGCATTCCAATTCAAAATCTAAAAATTCCTTGCACACAGGGGAGCCTCTGGGTATTGATTTGGTTATTCCTGATTGCTGTGAGGGCGAGAAAGTGGTCCCTCGTACGAGATATTTTGGAGGACAAGAAGGTGTTGGAGAATATATTTGGTATAGGACAAAGGATAAGCTTCATGGATCCACTCTGCTAGAATTGTCAACCAATTCTACGAATGTTGATATATGTGGCAAGACATCGTAAGTACTGTCTGAGGGGTGATGAATTCCAAGTTTTAGTATCTATTGCATAAGTTCTGGTAAATTAAATCATGTATTTATGCTGCAGGACATACACTCCATCTCTTGATGACGTGGGTGCTTATCTGGCCTTGTATTGGGTACCAATTCGATCAGATGGCAAATGTGGAGAACCTTTAGTATCAATTTCTGAATCTCCGGTCACTCCAGGTAGGATCTTAGCTCCCTGGCATATGTTTTCTGGCTTGGTCCATTTTACTAATAGCATGCACAAATGCTCTTCTTGTAAAGTTTTATTTCTCTCTGGCTTTACTTGATGCCATACATGGTAGATAACTGCAATTTGTCCAGTAGATTTACGGGATTTCTTAGTTTTCTTTTCCCCTCTCTTGATCTCTTTTTCCTGAACGGAATCAGTTGCTAGTTCTTTTTCAAGAGTTCCAAAGATTTTCATTTGTTTTCATATGCTTTGAATGTGCATTAATTATGTAGAAATAAAATTATGTGGCAGCTCTTCCTATAGTTTCTAATGTCCGCCTGAAAGAGTTGTCTTCAAATACTTACATTGGGGAAGGAGAATATTTTGGTGGATACGAGGGAGAAAGCTTGTTTAGCTGGTATAGAGAAACTGATGAGGGAACGATTGTTCTTATCAATGGAGCTAATTCCAGAAGTTATGAAGTCACAGATGAAGATTACAACTGCCGGTTGTTGTTCGGGTAACCATTTTACCTCTCCTTTCTTTCAACCACTGGATAAAGATGATTAAAAGTTCATGCATTATTGACTAGGTTTTTCTAGGAGTACCGAGACTGGTTCTTAGAAAATTCACCCACTGTTCTGTTGCTTGCTTATGTCTTGAGTTCGTTGTGTCGTGTATTTTTCTTTGGATATTGCATGTCTGAATTTTAAACAAATACCTTTTTTTTCATGAGAAGATAATAATTTAGTTTATACCATAAATCTGAAAAGATATTCAAGTCCTTAATTTGTTCACAACATTAGGATGTAGAAAGAAAGAAATAAATAAAAATGCAGGAATTCGTTTTTAAGAGCTGTTTTTGCGTTGTGTTTTACACAACCATCGTTATTTGGTCCTATCTACTACAAAGAAAAATCAGAATACATCTTGGGACATGTATTCGTTGCACATAACGATGTTCTCGTTTTGTTTTTACAATCATGACTTCACCTTTAGTGTTTTTTCCTTCTTAGATGATTGTAATAATCTATTTAAGCAAACATTTAATGGGACTTGCAGATATACCCCCGTCCGTACAGATTCAGCTATGGGAGAACTTAGATTATCTGAGGCTACTGGCATAATTTTACCAGGTATCCATCTCACTGTGCTCTACTGCTGCTGCTTTTAGGCTGTGAGCCATAATTGGTGATTAGTCTTTTATTTTAAACATGTACACTCGCTGTATCTTCATGGTTTTTAACGTTCATCCTCAGTCATCAAAACCAGTTCTCCTGGTTTAATTTGCTGAAAATTTTCTGTTCCACTTCAGCCTAGAAATGTATATGACATTTAAAATAATTCTCGATTCAATCAGGATAAACAAGATACGAGGTCAAAAATGTTTCCTATAAACCCCTTGCTACAGCTTTGAATTAGATGTTTTTTTGGTGGTTTCTATTTTTTCTTCTTAGGTCCATGCCATATATGAAGTGCTGGTTATCTAAATGTCATGTTCATATTCTTGCAGAATATATTGCACATGTTCACTTGTTTTATTCGCTAACATTTTAACCAGTTCGCCCTCATCCCCTCCACCAACATGAAAATTTTGGAAATTACCCCTTTCCTTATCAGGATCTTTCCCCTATTCCAAGTCTTTTGTTTTGTACTAGTCTATTGAACACTTTGAATTTGCATCTAAAAATTACACTTAATATTTCAGAATTGCCGAGAATTGAGATGCTAGCTCTTACGGGTAAGGCTGTTGAAGGAGAAGTATTGACTGCTGTTGAAGTTATTCCAGAGAGTGAAAGTCAACAGCATGTTTGGGGAAAGTACAAGAAAGAAGTCAAATACCAGTGGTACTGCTCTACACTAAACTGCTTGATATTAATTTGAATCAAATGCTGTCTCACCATGTGGGATTTGGAATTTTTTACATTTTTCACTTGCTATGATAGTCACAATTTTTCTGTTCAGTCTCGTATATAATCAATAGTAATATTTATACTTCATTCATTTAAAGCTATTAAATTCAGTCCTGTGTATAATTCATATGATGCCGTGTATGTTGCAGGTTTTACTCATGTGAACCTGGAAACAACCAATCCTTTGAGCCATTCCTGTCGCAATATTCTTGCTCCTATAAGGTGCGATTTGAGGACATTGGCCGCTATCTGAGGTGTGAATGCATTGTCACTGATGTGTTTGGAAGATTGAGTGAACCGGCATATGCAGAAACTACTGTGATTTTACCAGGTGTTTATTCTCTGAATGCAAAATATTTTGTTTACAATTGACCGCACCTTGTAATCAATTTGATATTGGATTATAGACCTTCATTTAATTATTTCTGGAATTACACATTATGAAAGTGTATTTAAGGCAAGGAGCCTTCACATGTATTGTTATAACTGAAGTCTCTGAAAATTGTCCGTTCATATCAGGACTACCTAGAATGGGTAAGCTGGAAATTGAAGGCCGAGGTTTCCACACCAATTTATATGCCGTCCGTGGCATTTATAGCGGGGGAAAGGAGGGCAAAAGTAGAATCCAGTGGCTTAGATCAATGGTTGGAAGCCCTGATCTCATCTCCATTCCTGGTATGGTATATTTCTGGCTGATTCTGCCATTGTTATCCAATATGTGCATTAGAAATAAGAAGGATGTGCTATGTTCTTGCAGGGGAGACAGGAAGGATGTATGAGGCTAATGTTGATGATGTAGGCTACAGACTGGTTGCACTTTATACGCCAGTGAGAGAGGATGGAATTGAGGGGCAACCCGTGTCTGTATCAACTGAGCTGATCGCAGTTGGTAATTTTTGAATCACTATTTTATTTTTCAGTTCTGCTTCCTTATTTTTCATCTGGACTCGTTCTCTACGTAAATTGAGAAACAATTTGTTTTTAAAGACTTCATTTTGCCTCTAATCTAGAGTTCTGTGAGCTATGTGACAAATGATAATATGATATGTATCTGATCAATAAAGTCGTATTTAGCTTATACGAATGCTTATATAACTTGCAGAGCCTGATGTTCTTAAAGAAGTTAAGCAGAAGCTTGATCTTGGATCTGTGAAGTTTGAGGTGTTGTCTCTTCTCAATAGTTTGTTTCATTCTGTTTCCGTGTTCCCATTATTCACATTAGTGAAATACCGATAGTATTTTTCCATATATTGCCATTTACAAAGTTTACGAGAATACGAGACATCCTGCAGGTTTATCTTAGTTCAGTGCTTAAAATGTTTTAACCTTTCAACAAACTAATACTTACAATGTTTTTGAAACAGGCACTATGCGACAAGGATCGATCTTCTAGAAAGGTACTTCTTTTCCCCTCTATTTTCCTGATTTACTACACAGCTTTGGTATCATCAAGAAAGGCAGAAAACAATGTATCACTCAGTATTATACCCTTTTCAACATTGCAGATTCCTGGAGTTGGAACTCTGGAGAGAAGAATTCTTGAAGTCAATAGAAAGAGGATCAAGGTTGTGAAGCCGGGGTCTAAAACTTCGTTCCCAACAACAGAAATTCGTGGAACTTACGCTCCTCCTTTTCATGTACGCCTTATTCTGCAACTCTAATCTGCCCTAATTTTGTAGTTCAAATTGTTTGACTACGAAGATTACCTATTTTTCTAGGTAATTTTGCACATTACATTACTAACTGTAATTGACAGTATAAAAATATGAAAGTTCCTTTTAAAGTATGCACCCAGTAGCATGTCTGGGGTGGCTTATAGGCAAGTACTTTTTCTCATGCCTATAAGCATGAAACAAACCACCCCAAACATGCTCGTTCATAGACAAACTGATCCTTGGGTTTATTGGCCTCTGTTTTACTTAATTGAGTTGTCAGGTGAAGGCGGTCTTAAGAGTTTCATGCCTTCTCATTTTCACGAATTGATTTCAAAATATTTTTTATCTTTACGGATATCAACACAAAACTACTGCCTGATGTGGAAATTGCTTATTTGAAATGCTCTTTTTTCTCCGTGGTGACTTCAAAATTAGACATGCTGGATATTATTGCTCACTGTTAAACATGTTTAAACATTATTTAAACAGTAATGGTCTGACCATCCTTGAAATCGGGATATCGTAACATTGATGAAAAAAATAAATTATTGAAAGTAGATTATGCACGTAATTCTGAAACTGTGCATTATGTTGAGGCACATATAGCATGCTCTGTTTCCACGCATTCCTATCTTATATGCACTTTCTTGTGCAGGTGGAGCTGTTCAGAAACGATCAACATCGTCTAAAAATTGTTGTAGACAGTGAAAACGAAGTGGACTTAATGGTGCAGACGAGGCACCTGCGTGATGTCATTGTCCTAGTTATCCGAGGCCTTGCACAACGATTCAACAGTACATCACTTAATACTCTCCTCAAAATAGATACATAACCTCGTGCGAAGCAAAGTGTAAAATAGTCCATAGTCGTAAAGTGTTTCGAGGTTTTGCTTTGTGCCAGTTGCCTTTCCCTTTCCCTTTTTATTTCCGGTGGAGACAATTCTGCTTCCGCATGTTTAGAGTTTTTGAGTAGCTTGTAAGAAGTGTTGTATCAACAAAAGGATATATGATGTTATATTATATTGATTGTAATGTATAGAAATCTGTTATGTCTTGAGATTCTTGTACTTGAACAAAGTATACTATAATGTCTTATGTTGTACGCATGGTGTATCTGTGAGTCTGTTTGGTACAGATTCTCATTTTCTACAGTAAATCAATTCTCATTTTCAACCACACATTCTTCAATAAAATAATATTTTTCATCACATCAATATTTTTTTCTTTTTTTTCAACCACACATTTCTCTTTTAAAAATCAAGAACAGAAAACAGTTTTAGAGCCTGTTTGGTACAGATTCTCATTTTCTACAGTAAATCAATTCTCATTTTCAACCACACATTCTTCAATAAAATAATATTTTCCATCACATCAATATTTTTTTCTTTTTTTTCAATCACACATTTCTCATCATATCACTATTTAAAAATCAATTCTTCCTCCAAAAATCCCTACCAAACACACTGTTTCTATTTTAGCTCAAGCCATTTATAACTTGCTGGGTTACTGTGGAAACTAAAATATGATGAAGCCAAAAGAAATTACTGCTGCAAATTGATGGAATTTAACAAAATATTTAGTCATTAACAGGTTTGTGAAAAATTAAATTTAGATGGCTCCAATGTTCTTGAGGCCAAGTACAACACCAACGCCGATAATGTGACCCACAGTCCCACATGCCAATGTATCTGCCAGGGTGAAACCAGCAGGATCCCCTGTCTGAAGGCCCGAGTCCCTCACTTCAAGCTTTAGTCCTGCAGTGGCCTTCCTGTTTGCAGATGGAGCCAAACCGAACCGACCAGCGAACAGCATCAGGCTTGTTGAAGTCACCATTATCTGTTTAATAGAGCCAAAAACAAAATTAGAAACACCATGACCCATAACTCTCTTACTGGTCACGGGTTAAGAGGAATAACTCCATGACCCATAACTTCCAACTGTTAAAATCTCACCAAATTAGTTGGGGAGCCAATGAAATCGCAGCGTGCGCCCAAAGCTCCCTGCCCTTTACGCTTCATTGGTTGAGCAGCAACCTGAAGAGGAAATATCATATTTATGTGACATACGCTATGGAAAATCGAATAGCACTTGATTGACATTCTCATTTGAACAATCATGTTCAGGTAAACCGAACATGCACTACAAAGGTTGTAAAATAAGGGACACTGACCAAGCTTTTGACAGGAGAAGCTGATGCTGGTACGAATCTGAGACCATTGAATTGTGGGAGAGAAGTAATCACGGCACTAGCCATTTTTGCTTAGCTTAGAAATTGATCAAAGAATAAATGTAATATCCCTTTTGCACAAGTGATATTTTCATTATGATGCCATTTTGAAATATTATAAGTTATGCTATGAACTCTGCACCACAGCCACATGAAGATTTTGTGGCTTCAATGCTGGATAGATTCAAATGCTCGTTGCTGATATGTCACTATATTATTGGATGAGCCCAAGTGGATAAGATTTGGATGTAATTTTTTATCAATTGGTGGGTCTGATGTTTTAAGCTGACTGCTTATATTATTTGTCAAAACTAAATAAAATCCCCCAAGTTCCCTATTCAGACAAGTTGGTCGTGTCCAAAGTAAAATAATGACTGACACTTTCACGCAAGAAGAGTGCCTGAGATTTACTCGGGGAAGATCAAGAGAGAAGGCTGCTGTCAATCACTCATGGCCAAAAGCAATAATTCAACTACTTTATTTTACAACAACTTGAATCTTTTTCAAAAAGTAATTTCAGAGGCGAGGTCGCTACTCCCATAGTCCACGATCGAGCTCAAACAAAATCATCTTGACTGTATTCTTCGGTCTTAATTGTTCTGAATTTTGATATTTTATAGCTTTTGAATCACTATTCAATTTCAACTGAATTTGATTCTTTAACGTTTGAATTTCTTATCACTTTTGTCTAAGTTAACAATTATTTCGATGATATAATGTAAAACAGAAAAAACAAAAGAATAAGAAATGAAACAAAAAGGAAAAAAAAAAGAACAAAAGAGAAATAATTATCTGTTGCAAAACGATAGACTAGAATAGAAAATAACTTGCCAAACCCCGCTGTGATCCACGACCACGCATAAACATAGCTCTAATGAACAAACTTGCAATGGAAAAAGAAAGGCAGTTGAGCTAAATATTCATTGCGATTGGCTTTCACATAATTCAAAACAACACTAGTTTTGTAAAGGCTTATTGTTCATATTTCTCATCAAAAGGCACTACTTGAATACCTTTCAAGACATGTGAAAATAGGAAACCCACAAATTTTTTTCTTATTATCAATACAATATTTGGTCAAACCGTAATTATGGGCATCTTATGTGAGCCTGTCATCGGTAGCTCACTCCATCGCCATGTATAACTTCACCAATTCGATATGTTGTACTTGCACCATGTTCTTCCCCAAGTATTTTAAGAGCTGTCTCCTTGTTCACCACTAGAACCATCCCAATCCCCATATTAAAAGTCCGTCTCATTTCTGAATCTTCGATTCTTCCAGCCTAAATTTGATTCCAAAAAAATTGTAGAATTAAGTGGTGCAAAGGTTGCATAAGAAAACAAATGATGAGAAATACACTATAAATTTATAAAGTACAGAACGAAAAATAAGTAGGACTGTAATTAGGTAACCGCATAAATAATTCTTACCTCTTGAATCCATTTGAAAACAGGAGGAACCACCCACGAGTCCTTATATATGATAGCTCCAAGACCTTTTGGAAACACACGAGGTATGTTATCTGTAAAACCACCACCTGTGATGTGAGCTATCCCTTTAACGCCACCTTTGCTAATAATGTCAAGAACCTGAATTCATCAATCATGTTAATAAACTAATGCATTCCCATGAAAACAAAACAAAGCAATATCATTAGGCACAACTACTTCAATTGGAGCTTGAGGCATGACCTGCTTGACATATATACAAGTAGGCGCCATTAAAGCTTCACCTAGGGTCACGGATGAACCAGGAAGTTGGTCCTTCAATGAAAGACCACTTTGCTTGAGAACCCTGCAGCAAATGGCAGAATTTCAGTTGATAAAGATATGGAGCAGTACGAGAAATGGAATGAATTTAATCAAGTATGCTGCAGTAACCCTCCATTCTAATACTTAATGTGAGTGGTTAAGATTTTCAAGGGCATTGGAGGGTCGACACAGTAAAAAGGTTTGTTTTCAGACTAGAAGTAAAAACCTTCTGACAAGAGAAAACCCATTCGAATGAACTCCACTGGATGGCAGGCCAAGGAGAACGTCCCCAACCGTTATGTTTTTCCCATCAATAACTGACTCCTTTTTCACAATTCCCACGGCAAAACCACTGAGGTCATACTCACCATCTGCGTAAAAATCTGGCATCTCAGCAGTCTGAAAGAAGCATGCACTTTATTATGAACACATTTACTTGGCATATATAGAAAGAAAGGAAAAAATGTCACAAGTACCTCTCCCCCCAAAAGAGCACAGTCAGATTGCTGGCAACCACTGACTATGCCTTTTATGACCTGCATCAGAGAATACCAAGTTGGTGGAACTATAAAAAATATCTAATTCTATGAATTCCAAAGCCAAAGGAAATTGGTATGCTGGTAGAATTGCAATACCTTCTCTGCAAGATCAACGTCCAAATGACTTGTAGCAAAGTAATCAAGGAAAAAAAGCGGCTTTGCTCCAGAGGTAACTATATCATTAACGCTCATTGCAACCTGATAAAAAACGAAGATTAATCCTGGCAATATTGATAGAACAAACATATAAACCATCAATATTTACCAAATCAATTCCAATTGTCTCATGAATTTCAGTCTCAAATGCGAGCTTAAGTTTTGTTCCCACTCCATCTGTGCCGGCAACAAGATAGGAATCCCCTGTGGAACAATTGAAATGAAAAGAGGGTCTTGTACATGAAATTGAGATGGGAGAGGCTGTTAAAAAATCCAAAACAAGAGGTAGAGAAAATATACAAAAGGAAGGTAAACAACAATACAAAATGCATAAGCAATTCATGCAAAACTAAAACAAATTGTAGGATTTGGTTTCTAGTTTGAGCTAGTGGAAATGTTGGATCATTTAACTAGTTCAAGAGTCAGGCCAACCACCTTTTTTGTTTCACAACCCTCCAAAACAGTAATATTCCTAATGGGTTACTAATTTCCATCCGGAAAACACACTAGGCTTTGATGCATTTCAACATGCATTTGATTCTAATTTAATCATGTTTCAATTCAGGGGGAAATGGCACATTAGACGCTATTTAGACACATTTTCAACATGTGATAGACGATTTTCAAAAGCATAAATATGACCATACTAGAAAACTGAAGTACACTTTTGTCCTGTGCTATAGAAAAGAACACCGAACATCTCTAAAATAAAGAATAAAATTTCAATTCAAACGGTGTTGAGTAATAATAATACCCTTTAAAAGTCATATGACAATATGCATAAATGAAATAGATAATTGTTTTCCTCCTCTTTCACCTCCAAATCGATTTATTGTGTGACATAGTGTTATCAAATGCTTTTGTGCACTCACAAGTAACACAAATATTCAAGCCTTCGGGGGAAATAAAAATAGCATCTTTGCATAGATCTTCTAATTCTATTCCCAGTCATGTTCATGATAATCACTCTTCAGAGAATATATCACATTGATAATTAATGTTCCAAAGGTAGATTAATAAACAATATATCAGATCATTCATTTTTGACGAACCCCTTGAAGCTTTGAGGGTAGCAATCTGATTATGCCGTTACTGTCACTGGCCTGAGACTATTAGCGGGAGCTTGATTAAGACTTACTCCAGCTACTACTTTTTTAGTATGAAGGGGATGGTCCCAAATGGAGTGATTCAAGATTCACAGATCTAGACATTTAAGCAGAGTGATAACTCAAAAGATAAATACCATATAACACTGGTAACATACATATAAACCAAGAACTATAGTTATTATACCTAAGGGAAAGAGGCCACCAAAACCTCCGATTCCAGGGGCCATCTTGGCTATTCTTTTTACAAGTTCCGAACCCGCGTCTATGTCAACACCAGCATCCTTGTATGTAAGGCCATCAGCCATACTTCCTTCGGCAGTTTCGACCACGTTTTTAGTACCGGAGCTGGAAACTGATAACGAAATTCCACTTTTCTTACTCCAAACTTTCGCTTCTTTAATGGAATTATTGGAGAACAATGGCAATAGCCTCGTCCCCAAAACACAAGCATTAAACTTGGCCAAGCCTAAATGCGGATTAAATAAATTGGTAACACAACGGGATAGTTCTGTATTTGGTCCGCATAATGTATTCATGATCTTTTGCAGTAATGGATAAAACCTTCAAAAAAGAAATTGAAAAAGAAAAGATAACAGTTTTGTAGGTAATTTAATAGCAATATAATTACTTATGTTTAATTTAAAAGAATATTGAGGAAATACCAGAATCGCAAGTAAAACGACACAAAATCGCAAGTAAAACGACAACGGTGGAACAGGAGGCTGAGTAGCGGCGAAACGCGGCGGAGGGAACTTGCAGTCGTGGGTTTTGTTGAGGAGAAAAATCTGAAATGGGTTTTTGCTTTAAGAAGAAGGGAAAATTTGAGTAGAAGTCATATGACTTGTGAGTTTGTTCCATTTTAGTCCCCAAACTTCAATTTATTAAAATGCTCGCCTAATTTATATTCTTGTTCAGTTTAACCATTCACATATCCATATCACGTTCTAGACAAAATGTATAGTATAATCTTGATGCTATATTACTGTGTCTTAATTCTATTATTATTGAACCGTACAAGTTGAAAAACTATTAGTGGTTTATTATTATGTCATAATTTTCATTTTCCACATGGATGTGGACCTAATTTCAAACACGAGACAAAGAAACACAGATATAAATGTTCTCGACTTGTCTCGTTGATGAGTGTAAATCACTCATCGAACTAATACATTTAAAACATAGTTTTTGGCTTGTTTTTAAACACTTTTCAACGTTTAAATGTGTTTGTTCATGTTGTTTTGTAGTTTAGGTAAATAGGAGAAAATGACGTATTATGGAGCTCGGGATGGAGCTAAGTGTTGATCATAGAAGTGGGCTTGAAAAGAAAATGAAAGGAAGAAGAAAAATTAAGTGGAAAAGAGGCGAAAACAAAAGAAAACAAATGATAGAATTAACGAGCGTCACAGCGCCCAAGAGTATTCCAAAAGTGGCAGAAAGCTGAGCGTCGCAAAGCCCAGCCAGAGAAACAAAGAGGCAGAATCGGCGCTAGCCATTGGGCTCTGTGACGCCATCATAAGAGACATCACAGCGCTGCTTCCTGAGAACAAAGAAACCAAATTTTTTTATAAATTTTTCGATTCGGTCCAACTCCAACTCGTCTTGATACTTGAAGAGACTATAAATACAAATTGGATAAGAATTCAAGTGGCAAAATAGTTTTTCTTATTCTTTTTCTCCATGTTCTTTATTTAAGATTTTAATATATCGTTTCTTGTATTCATGAACTAATTTTATTATCTAGGGTTTGATGTAACTAAACTTGAGATATGTCTGGATTATAATATAGTTATTTCGTTTGATTTTTTCATTCATTTATTTGTGTTGATTCTTGTGTAATACTTTTAATTACCTGATTAATAATTACATGATTTGATTCCTTAAATTTCGGTACTCGAGAGATGGAGATTTTGGGCTTGATCTAAAAATAACATAACCTAATTTTTGTAGATTTCGAGAAAAAAATATAAATTTTTTGAGGCTTATACCATTACAGATTCATGCACATGATAATTTCTATAATTTTAATTCGGAATAGAAATATTGAAATTAAAATATAGAAATATGTTCTACTCGGCACTTCAGAGAGGGAATAGAATTAATCTAAGGTTCTCGCCTATAAATTCCAGAAAAATGGATAAAAGTAAGTATAGAAGTTGAATAACATTGTTGATAGTGAAGTGAAAATCAATCCCTAGACCTTCTCACATTGATAACTCCCCTATAATTTGCCTTCTTTTAGTTGAACTAATCACAACTAAACGTGAGTTGCACGCCATTTTGAAATGCTCTATAAACACTGTAAAAATGATGTTTGAAAGTTAGCGAATATAAAAACTATTAAAAAACTGTTTATGTGAAATAAACTTTCTATACAATCCAATTATTTATTTACATGTGTGATAATAATTAATATTAATTTATATATATCCGACTATAATTCAATCAATTAATTCTTCAAGTTAATGGATGTATACTTCATATATTTTGGGGGCTGTTCAATTATTTTAAAAATACTACAATTCAATTATTTATGTATGTGTATGTACTCTAATTAACATTAAGTCATCAAGTTCATGTACACGTGTTTTGAGAGCTATTTGATTATTCTAGTAGTAAATAAATTATTCAAATTCATAAACACAAATTTATTTTTAAGATTATTCATTTTATCATAAATTATTAAAAATCATATAATTTGGGAGCTACTCAACGAAAATCCCTGAGACGGGGAATAGTGATTAAAACCCAACCCAGCAAGCTGCCATCCCTACAAAGAAATGTTGAAATAAAATAATAAAATATATGCTATTTTGCAACAAATTGAAGTTCAACAAGCTAATGTGGGACAAATTATAAGTTGGGAGACCTTGTGTAAAAAATCTGAAAATGATCCCTACAAGAACCGGTATCAATGTCGGAATTCTTTATCCATGAATTCAGTGGGCAGGAATCTCGAATCTTCATAATATTCCAGGCCACAGTCCATTTGGACTCAAATGCAAATGATACAAACTTTATAACAAGATTATAAGATGTCTGCATATCCAAAAAAGATACTAGCATAAAGATGCAGGAACATTAATACAAAATCAAATATATTTCATTTTCTACTCGAATACCACATTTCTTACATCTACAGTTCACAACGAAAATGCAAGCCAAAGATACAGGAGAAACGAAATAAAATTTTGTCATCAGATAAAAAATGCATTCTATTCTCCACTTCCCGTCAACCAGAAATGAGGAACATAGGCGAAAAAAATATAGATAGTTTTGTTACAAGTACTCATAAGATCTGGTTTACAACCGCAGTATGGATAAAACCTTCAAAAAAGAAAAGATAACAGTTTTGTAGGTAATTTAATAGCAATATAATTACTTAAGTTTAATTTAAAAGAATATTGAGAAAATACCAGAATCGCAAGTAAAACGACACAAAATCACAAGTAAAACGACAACGGAGGAACAGGAGGCTGAGTAGCGGCGAAACGCGGCGGAGGGAACTTGCAGTCGTGGGTTTTGAGAAAAATCTGAAATGGGCTTTTGCTTTAAGAAGGGAAAATTTGAGTAGAAGTCATATGACTTGTGAGTTTGTTCCATTTTAGTCCCCAAACTTCAATATATTAAAATGCTCGCCTAATTAATATTCTTGTTCAGTTTAACCATTCACATATCCATATCACGTTCTAGACCAATATTACTGTGTTTTAATTCTATTACTATTGAACCGTACAAGTTGAAAAACTATTAGTGGTTTATTATTATGTCATAATTTTCATTTTCCACATGGATGTGGACCTAATTTCAAACACGGGACAAAGAAACACGGATGATAAATGTTCTCGACCTCGACTTGTCCCGCTGACGAGTGTAAATCACTCATCGAACTAATACATTTAAAACATAGTTTTTGGCTTGTTTTTAAGCACTTTTGAGCGTTTAAATGTGTTTGTTCATGTTGTTTTGTAGTTAGGTAAAGAGGAGAAAATGACGTATTATGGAGCTGGGGATTGAGCTAAGCGTTGATCAGAGAAGTGGGCTTGAAGAGAAAATGAAAGGAAGAAGAAAAATTAAGTGGAAAAGAGGCGAAAACAAACGATGGAATTAACGAGCGTCACAGTACCCAAGAGTATTCCAAAACTGGCAGAAAGCTGAGCGCCGCAAAGCCCAGCCGAGAAACAAAGAGGTAGAATCGGCGCTAGCCATTGGGCGTTGCGACGCCATCAAAAGAAACATCGCAGCGCTGCTTCCTGAGAACAAAGAAACCAAATTTTTTTATAAATTTTTCGATTCGGTCCAACTCCAACTCGTCTTGATACTTGAAGAGACTATAAATACAAATTGGAGAAGAATTCAAGTGGCAAAATAGTTTTTCTTATTCTTTTTCTTCATGTTCTTTATTTAAGATTTTAATATATCGTTTCTTGTATTCATGAACTAATTTTATTATCTAGGGTTTGAAGTAACTAAACTTGAGATATGTCTGGATTATAATATAGTTATTTCGTTTGATTTTTTCATTCATTTATTTGTGTTGATTCTCGCGTAATGCTTTCAATTATCTGATTAATAATTGCATGATTTGATTCCTTAAATTTCGGTACTCAAGAGATTGAGATTTTGGGCTTGATCTAAAAATAACATAACCTAAATTTTGTAGATTTCGAGAAAAAATATAAATTTTTTGAGGCTTATACCATTAAAGATTCATGCGCATGATAATTTCTATAGTTTTAATTCGGAATTGAAATATTGGAATTGAAATATAGAAATATGTTCTACTCGGCACTTGAGAGAGGGAATAGAATTAATCTAAGGTTCTCGCCTGTAAATTCAAGAAAAATGGATAAAAGTAAGTATAGAAGTTGAAAAACATTGTTGATAGTGAAGTGAAAATCAATCCCTAGGCCTTCTCACACTCACATTGATAACTCCCCTATAATTTGCCTTCTTTTAGTTGAAACTAATCACAACTAAACGTGGGTTGCACGCTATTTTGAAATGCTTTATACACACTGTAAAAATGACATTTGGAAATTAGTGAATATAAAAACTATTTAAAAACTGTTCACGTGAATAAACTTTCTATACAATTCAATTATTTATTTACGTGTGTGATAATAATTAATATTAATTTATATATATCCGACTATAATTCAATCAATTAATTCTTCAAATTCATTGATGTATACTTCATATATTTTGGGGGCTGTTCAATTATTCTAAAAATACTACAATTCAATTATTTATGTATGTGTATGTACTCTAATTAACATTAAATCATCAAATTCATGTACACATGTTTTGGGAGCTATTTGATTATTCTAGTAGTAAATAAATTATTCAAATTCATGAACACAAATTTATTTTTAAGATTATTCATTTTATCATAAATTATTAAAAATCATATAATTTGGGAGCTATTCAAATTATTATATGAGTAAATAAATTATTCAAGTTCATGTATACTTATTTAATTTCAATATTATTTATGTAATCTATGATATAACACAATTTATCTAAGTGTATATAAATTATTATTTTTCTATATTCATTAATTCAAATTAATTAAATTTTATGTTAGTTCATACACACCCCCTTTGTTTAAATGTATATAAATTATTATTTTGCTATATCTATTAATTCAAATTAAATAAATTTCATGTTGACCCTTTGTTTAAATGTATATACATTATTCTTTTTCTGTATTCATTTATTCAAATTAATTAAATTTCATGTTCATGAATCAAATTGATTGTTCTCATACAATTCAATTATTTATTTGCGTGCATGTTTAATAATTCTTATTCAATTAAATGTACATTGAAAAACGAATATTATTTATTTGCGTGCATGTTTTAATTAATATTCAATTAAATATATATTGAAAAATGAAAGGTATGGTACTGTTGAAATAATTAAATTGTAGTAGAGCTAAAATCGTTTAGAAAATGATTCTCACTTGATACAATATTTAATATATTAGTCACAGCTAAACGTACGTTGCACGTTATTTTGAAATGTTTTATAAACGTGTAAAAATGATGTTTGAAAATCAGTTAATATAAAAAATAGTTAACAAAAACTGTTTATGTGAAATAATATTTTTATACAATTCAATTATTTATTTACGTGTATGATAATAATTAACATTAATTTATATATATCCTACTATAATTCAATCAATTAATTCTTCAAGTTCATGCATGTACACTTTATATATTTTGGGGGTTGTTCAATTATTCTATAAATACTACAATTCAATTATTTATGTATGTGCATGTATACTAATTAACATTTATTTATAAATATATTAAATGTAACATTAAGTCATCAAGTTGATATACACATGTTTCGGGAGCTATTCAATTATTTTAGGAGTAAATAAATTATTCAAGTTCATGAACAAGTATTTATTTTCAAAATTATTCATTTTATCATAAATTATTCTAGGAATATATAAATTATTAAAGATCATATAATTTGTGAGCTATTCAATTATCATAGTAGTAGATAAATTATTCAAATTCATGTACACTCATTTAATTTATGATATAACACCATTTGTTTAAATGTATGTAAATTAT